TCCAAATATTGTTTTTTAAAATGAACGACAAAACGACAAAAACTTTTCGATCGGAAAAAAAATTGTCATGTATATGTCAACTTTTATTTTTAATTTTACGACACTTTTCATGAATGTAAAACCATCATACTAAGTTATGTGAAAATAGTGCATTACAATTGAATTTAAATGTAAAAACTGGACATACATCAGACACTCAACATGTGTAATGTTATTACCAAGCCTAGGCCTACGTGTGTCCGGGAAAATTCTATTTTAGTGCATTTTTAGATAAAAATGGCAGGCAGTCGGGCATCTTTGATCGGATAAAATATATATAGACATGCATATGTTCCAGGTAATTTTAAAGTATGCATTAGGTATCAGGTCCGAATTTACAGAAACCAATCAGGACTTTTCGAACTGGGACTAACAAAAGGGTCGCGGATGGCCTTCCTGGGTCAAATTTACAAATCAATGTGGCGTGCATGGTCTCCCCTGACACGCAGTTTGTTAAAATATGGTCACGAACATGTCAAAATACCTGATTTTAGTGTATTTTTACAACACAAATTATCGTCAATTCTGAAACCATTGCATGCACATAGATGATAAATATGTGCAAAGTTTGGGGGAAATCGACCGAGGCATTTATGAGATACAGCTGGGAATGCACGCATGCATGCATGCACTCATGGAGACTAACCTATAATTATAAGTCCCCGTACCTTTTTTTATTCGACAAAACATATATATTACAGACATAACACAAAATATTTAGAGAAACAACAAAATCGAACAAACGGAATCGAACACATGGACCACTTCTAATTTGCATTATGTCTCATTATCACGAAAGCTCGTGTATGCCCAGATGGATTTACTGTCTGTAATAGTGGCCGGTGTATACCTACTGGGAAATGGTGTGATGGTCTGTATGATTGTTATACATTACCACAAGAAGACTATTCTGATGAATTAAACTGTGAAAATTGTAAGTTTCTAGCGTGACGTAATTGAAAACTGTTATAGTAACTACGTATATATATTTCACTACGTTAATATAAATAATTACTATGATAATATAAACGAAATGTACATAGCCGGATTGCTAATATAAATAATGATATATCCTGAATATAATGATGTAATTGTCCCATAGATACCTGCTTGGATGGATATTTTAAGTGCGCTGATAACCGCAAATGTGTTGACATGGAAAGAAGGTGTGATAACCAAAACGATTGTTCCGATGGTAGTGACGAAGTCAGTTGTGACTCAGTGAGTAGGATAGAGTTACCTTAAATGTCGAGTTTAGAGCACGTTACTTGTAATTATTTATATACGGTAATGCGAGTCACCAACTTTTGGTGAAAGTCACGGCCGAATTCCTAAACAAAAAAAACATCTGTTGAAACAAATTATCCAAAACAACAGACCCATTGAAGGACATGTCCAAGAAAAACCAACCTCCTAAAGTGGTTGAAACGTTTTTTTTGCGGTATTGGAAATCATGGTAAATATATCATTGCCATATATCACACATTGCTGGTAGATCGACAAAGCTTTGATTACTGAAAATGTCAACAAGGGTTCCACTGACAATTGCTCATTTTAACACATAAATTATAGGCCCCTTGGGTGCCTCGCATACCTTTTAGTAGGTTTTTACTAGTGACGTCAATTTGTGTTTTGTATATGCAATTGAATTTTGATTAATTTCAGACACATGTGGCCCACACCACTTCCGATGCCGAGATGGACAGTGTATTCAGGCACTATATCGTTGTGATGGTTTACTTCATTGCGTAGATGACGAGGATAACTGTGATATCAGTACGTTGACTATATTTGTTGTTCTTGTATCTATTATAATCGTTCATCGAATACAACAGAGGGCTTACTGGCAATTTCATGTACCCTGGCGACGCGCGTAATTCACACTATTTTGCTTTGTTATTTTAGCTTCATGCCTCATTTTTGTGAAAGTGCTTTCTTATTTCATGAATTACTGTGCAACATGTCATCTACATGCGCAGCCAATGTAGTATCCATGATAAGCGTTCCCATACTTTCCAAGCGGACTGTGTGCGCCTAATTTTGCAAGCACGCCGCCAACGACAGTAATCAGTAAAATATTTAAGAATGGCGTTCCCAGAAACACCCAGAGGGGTTCTCTGAATAAAATATGGTACGCAAGCTGAAGTAGAAAAAACGCGTAAAAGGGATGCTATTTAGTTATTTGACGTGTATACGCGTTTAGGATCGAATATTTAAAAATATATAAATAAAGTGTAAAACAAGGAATCTCATGTATTCATGTTACCTCAACTTGGAAACCACATGATTTTAGTACCTATATGTATGTAGGGTATCTACTTTAAGTTTCTGCACTTGGTAAGGGGTATAATTTTATAAAAATACTG